ATATATATATATATGTATATATATATATATATTGTCAAATTAATGAAAATTAAGATATCTTAGATTTATTTTGATTAAAATTTATTATAATTGTATTTTTAGGGTAATATATGTGGAGGAAGGAATTTTTTTAGTTGTTACTATCATTCGAAAAGAACTAATAATAATAATAAGAAAAAAAAAACTCCAACAACGTTGTAAAAATAACTATTATCAATGTTACCCTAAAACATTGTTATGGATATCAACCGAAAACAATTCAACTAATATCTATAAAGAAAATCCTTTGTCATAATTTGATTGAGCTTCTTTAATAAACTTTGACTAAAAAAATAACATCAAATGAATATGATTGAAAAAAGATTATTAATAACTATTAAGTATTTTTTATTTAATAAAAATTAAAATACTTTATGTAGATGAGAAAATTAAATTTATCAAATCTAATTTATTATATTAAAAAAATATTAAAAAATAAATAAACATCAATTCAAATTTTAATTAATTTAAATAAGTGTTGAAATTTTTTATCAAATCAAAGGCATGTTACGTTGTCCATTGAGTTTGCTTTGGAAATTCTCTAACAATAATATAGTAGCAATCAGACTCAACAAACATAACAAAGGAACACTCCTTCAAAGAAGTATATTTTCTCACATTGCCCAAATAAATGCATACAACCAAACCAATATAGGATCTCACACAAACAAGCCAAGAGTTTATAGAAATTACATGTTTCCAACAAAATATGTTGGCCTTACAAACACATATAGTCATAACCAGATGACATCAACTAACTTAGACAAAACACCACAAGGGAGTGTCTTATTAACATCCGCTAATATCATACTATCAAATCACAACTCAATCATGTTGATATGCACCAAGCTCCTTACCCCTAGCTTGAGATATTGATCTAGGGTCACTTTCTAAGTATCATACAGATCAACGAAGGAGTCTTTCACATATTCTTATCTGAAAAATAGTTAGCACACATAATCAATAAAAGCAAAATAGTGATGAATAAATTCTCAAGAATAGAGTTCTCCAACTGTAATAACTATAATGTAAACAAATATAATGTAATATCCTTCCTTTTGAAAACATAAAGGAAATCATTCAAAGAAAAATGAATCATAAGAGAAGGTTTCATCACACAAACATAATTTCATGGCATCTTATTATGACAATTTGTAGTAAACTTGTAAAATTTATAATGTCGCGCCATAGGGAATTTCTTCCATTTGAATTCGAATTAAGGAATCTCATTCATCTGTTAAATTCAATAAATAATTAAACTCGGATCCATCAATATTCTTGTTAAAATGATAAGAGTATAGGGACTAACACAACTGAAAAATCTTTTCAATTGGTAAAAATGTACATACTCATCATCCAAGGCTTAATATTTATTAATATTTTAATACAATTATTGTTTAGTTTTATTCTATATACCGATATGTATATGAAAAATTCTTTTAGAAGTACTAGTATGACGTACTTGTTTATTAAACTTTTATAAAAGATTTTATATGTCATAAAGCCAAATGATTTTGTACATAAAAATGATGAGTAATATATATAACTATATAAGATAAGATGTACATGAAAACAAAGTTCAATCTCCATTAAAAAAAAATAAAGAAAACAAAGCCATAAATGTGTAGCATTTTGAATAATGTATCGGAAAGTACCTACCTTCAGTTGAATTTTTCTCAAATAACCATGTGAGAATCTTGAAAGGAAAATAAGAAATCCATCGCATTATTAGGTTGCTTGATGCTGAGGGCAACCAGAGAAGAATGTACAGCAACAAAAGCAGAAGAATGAAGATCACACACAAAATCATAATAGTAGTGGCCAACCAACTGAGATTGCTTATAACAAGGTGGACACCAGCCAAGAATGCCACTGATAAGGTTGCAAGAGTGACTCCTAAAAGGGGTATTGCCACATCAAGAGCAAAAAGAGCCAAAGTTATATCTCCTAATTGAGCCCAAATGAGTATAATAGTGACACTAATACCACCGTACATGGATGCTGTGATGCAGAACATAAATGGTTTAAACCACACGTGAGGTAACATAATAGCCATGCCTTGTTCTGGAGCAGAACTATTAGTTCCACCAGGCAAAGTAAAACCTGCGGTAAATGCTACTGTAGTAATAAGGGTTGAAACCACCATAAGAGTGTTGATTCTGTCTTTATAAAATTCTGTGCTTTTGGGTTGTGGCCTTCCGTGGAAAGGGATCTCGATAGTCGGTAACCCTCTTTTAGCATGTTGTACGCCAGCAGATTTTAGTAGACACCATGTTAGCCGCTACAAATACAAGTTTGTGTTACAAATTTAACATTCCAATAATGAAAAAATAAATAGTCCAATAATGTCTTAACAGAGCTATGATGATGATGATCAATTTTTTTCACAATTTACAGAATTAATGTGGATGAAATATACCACCTTACTATATTATGTGAGAGCTAATGAAAAATAAAACAAAAATAGGTCCTTAATCATTCAAGATCAATTTTAATTGATTAAGAACCTTGTCGAACATATATTCCCATAACAGTCACTATAAATAGAAAAGGCATATATTTAAATCTTGAAATTTTAAATAAAAACAATACTCTATATATACTTGCCTGTGGGAAGGGCGGATTATCTTCTTGTTTAAATTTCTCAAAAACATCGAGAGTTGTTTGGTTGTTGTTGTTAAGGCAATGGAGATCAACCCTTGTGTCCCATGTCAAGGCTTGCACAACTTTTGGATGACAATATGAGGCAGCCAAATGCAAGGGAGTGTTTCCATCATAATCCTTGTCATTTATCATATCTTTAACTTCATCTTTTGCATTTTGCAAGATGTACTTTATCACATTAAATTGACCCATTATAGCTGCAATGTGAATGATATTTCGACCTTTGTTATCAACTATTTCTCTGGGATTTGGACAAATTTCTAACAATTTCTTTACCACGTCAGTATGCCCATATGCAGAAGCCAAATGAAGAGGAAAAAATCCATCTTTGTCTCTTTCCATATGACATGTATCACAACTTTCAAGCAATAACTGAACACCATGTAGGTAACCTATAGAAGCCGCATGGTGAAGAGCATTTCTTTGTTTGTGATCCTTACCATGAATCCATTCCTTCTTTTTGTTTACTATTTTTTCTAGAATATCTGACATATATCATGAATAACTAATTATAAGCACAATCTTGACAAAAAAATATCGAATAAATGAATTATTTAGAGAAATGAAGAAATAATAGAAAATCAATATCAAATAAAAAAATATGAATGACAAAACAAATTAACCAATTATATTATATATTTTTTCTCAATTCATCACTAGTTTCCTAAAGGAAATTTCTTAAATTTAAAAAAACTTGAATATTGAATAGAAATAATAGCATAACTTAGATAGGATACAAAGTGTTTTTCTATTTTCTTTCACTATTTTTAAAATTCTGTAGTGAATATTCTTATTGCATTCACTAAATTTGTTAACTTTATGAAAGTAGAAAATTTAGAAAGTGGATGAGTTTAATTATTTTTTTTTAAAATGAAAATAAATTTCAATTAAGCTGCGAAAGTTTTTGTATCAGCTCTGTAAAATATTTTTGTAATTGAATCTTTAAAATTTTCTTTGTTTTTAATTAAGGATTAATTGTGTAAAATTTTCGTTATGAACACTAACTACAAATGTATGTAAATATGATCATGAAGATTATCACTTTTTAAGGATCATCTTTTTGAACTCGTTATTCTCAATCAAAAGTATATCTTTTTAAGGATCATGAATAAATTTATTAGTGAATGATAATATAAAATGTACAGTTATACAACAAAATTTACCTTTTAAGATTGCCTCAATGGATGGTGACGGGGCTCGTTGACTTTGTAAGATCGTCCACATGTTTTCTTCTGCCATTAGAATATCCAGACTCGCTGATTCGGTTTCTGATAACCGAAGACTTTCTAAGATCGTCAACATGTTTTCTCTTGCCATTAGAATTTCCTGACTCTCTGATTCGGTTTCTGATAACAAAAGATACACAGGTGTTCGAGATTTCAATGACCATTAACATTGAAGTTCAACAGTCGTAGTTGAAGTTCATTGAAATATTTCCACTGTTCTTACCAAAGCGTACTTGAGGGTAGTAGAATATTCCAAGATCAGTTAATATATTCTCTGTAATGCAGTAAAATAAATATAAGTTTAGATGATTTTTCAATAAGATATTTATTTATATATATATATATATATATATATATATATATATATATATATATATATATATATATATATATAGATAGATAGATAGATAGAGAGAGAGACTGGAACATAAATATAAGTTTAGATGATTTTTCCCTAATAAAAAAATACTATTTTCTTTTTTATATCAAACATACTATGATGATTGTCATATAAAACTGTAATATGCAGACAAACTATGGTTGAGAATTATGAAGTAGTAATTATGATCTTTAGTTCTCTCTCTCAGAATAAGATATATATGAATAAAATTATTATTTTAATGTAAATTATTTTGTATATAAATCGTTTAAAATAAAAAGGAAAGTACTTATAATATATAAAGATTTAAAATTATTTAACTACGCAATTTTTTTTTAATTTATGAAAGTCTTTTTTAGGTTTTAATAAATTGTATGTATTAAATTCACATTGAAGATTATGCTATCTCGTAAAGCTATTAGAAACATATTTACATTTCAATTTTTTACAACTTAAGCAAACTCGCTTGAACAATTTTTGAAGGTGCATTAAAGACATATGTGTATTAATAGGATGGAAAGAGAAGAGGTCCCACGGTGTAAATGGATAATTTGATTTAATTTTATTTGACCTATTATAGTTGGTTATTTAGTGAGTTATACAACTCAATTTAAACTAGTCTACATAAAAAATTATATTTTTTATAAATTTAATCTGATTCAAACGTGTTATAAAACAGATTGATTTCTAATTACAACTCATTTTGATAATAAATTGGACATAATTTGAGAAATATTTATTCAAAACACAAAACACAATTATTAAATAGAATATTAATTGGAAAAAATAATTGTCAGTGATTAGCAATTAATTATTCAGCAATCATCGTTCCTTCTCCAACCAAATGATTGTGAAATTAAAGAAAAAAAAATAATAGGTGAAAATTGAAGTGTGTAGGAACTTTTATACCTTTGTAACGAGGAATTACTCTGGTCAATAAATCATCAACAATGTCTCGGTAGCCTTTCTCGATTGCTAAGTGCAAAACTGATTTGCCTCTACGGTTTCTACTAGTAAACGCAGTATCCTCAGCCAATTGCTTTAAGGCTGGTGAAGAATCTAGAATGTTCATAACATTTTTGTGACCATTCAATAAGGCCTCATCAAAGAAAGTATTTCCTTGTTTGTTGGTTACAAGGATTGCCTCTTTTGAAACAAAATGACAGAGAAATGTAGCCACCAACTTCTCGAGAGTAGAGATGTTGCCAGCTCTTGCAGCAACATGCAGTGGCGTATCACCAGTAGTATTTACTATTAGCAAAAGCCCTGGACCAATTTGAAGTACCTTTTCAACACACTTATCATTTCCATAGAGAGCTGCTATATGCAGCACCGTGTTTCCTCTAGGCCTCTGTTGCTTTATAGTGTCATAGTCTATTTCGCTGCAATCGGATTCAGGCTTGTTCTCTTTTATCGAATCGTATGTTCTCTTAGGCAACAACCACCAACCATGTGCTTTAGCTTCATTACTGCGTCGTTCTTCTGAGCTTTCCAATGTGTTTTCTCCTATCACATTCCTTGAAGGTTGTTCTTCTCCGTTGTAGTTATTTTCCACGTCGTTATTATTCATACATATCTTCCCTCCACACCTTAGAAATTTCATCATGCTCTTTTTCTTTGCTTCCACCAACTTTTCCTGTCCAAAAACACAAAATTGCAGACATATCAATAAATCACAACATACACAAAAACACATAATTCTCAATTTCACCTTCAAGTCTTCATATCCCTCTGGAAGCTTCCCTCCCTTAGAAAACTCAAAGGTTATAGACGCAAAGTAACATACACCAACAACCTGTATACGTAGAATCACCTTGAGAGTTGTTAGGAGGCTTCAAAGAGAAGGTAAAAAAGTAGAAGGGAAGCGCATAAAAAAAAGTAAAAGAGAAAACTTGGGACATCCCCTAAAAGTGACTTCTAAAACAAAAGATATTACATAAGAAAACTTTGGGCATCCCTTAACCTACCATATCTTCCCTTTTTCTCCACAAGAAAAGAATATATAAAATAAAGTGTTGTGACATATCCAATCATCAGCTTTAATATGTGATCATTTCCTGTGACAATTACCAAAATTAATTTAAAATACAATTTCGAAATAAGATATTAATTCCAAATCTGAAAAGGGCTAACTTATTAGTGTCTAGTAATTAATTACTATGTAAAGTTTCATAAATAATCATTTTTGCAATTTTACTAATATATGTTTTATTTAATAACAAATTTAGTAAATCCCATCATTTAGGAAGTATAAATTTCCCTTACAAAGGACAAATGGCTGGCAGAAATGGAATTCCAAAATAGTGGTGGATGCTGTCTATGAAATTAATATATGTTCCTCGTTACCCTGACCAAATGATTGTGAAATTAGAGAAAATAAAGTATATAAAAAAAANCCTTTTTCTCCACAAGAAAAGAATATATAAAATAAAGTGTTGTGACATATCCAATCATCAGCTTTAATATGTGATCATTTCCTGTGACAATTACCAAAATTAATTTAAAATACAATTTCGAAATAAGATATTAATTCCAAATCTGAAAAGGGCTAACTTATTAGTGTCTAGTAATTAATTACTATGTAAAGTTTCATAAATAATCATTTTTGCAATTTTACTAATATATGTTTTATTTAATAACAAATTTAGTAAATCCCATCATTTAGGAAGTATAAATTTCCCTTACAAAGGACAAATGGCTGGCAGAAATGGAATTCCAAAATAGTGGTGGATGCTGTCTATGAAATTAATATATGTTCCTCGTTACCCTGACCAAATGATTGTGAAATTAGAGAAAATAAAGTATATAAAAAAAATAATAGGACGAAATTTAGATGTACATAGGGTTGGGCAAAACTAATCTAGCTATATTAAACTATAGTTAATTATACTCTTAAAAAAACTAAATTATTTGGAATAATAATTGGACTGTACTGTTTCATACTTCAGTTTTAAAACACTGAATTTGTATAAGTTAAGTGTTAAATAAACTGAACTGTCCTTTTTATTTTGTTTTTATTTTTCTCTTTCTCTTTTACATTCAACTGTCACTTTTATTTTATCTATATGAAAAAATTTAGTTATAATAAAAAATTGTATAATTTAAATTTAATTTTTTTAAATATAATTTAAAATTTTGAAACATCTTTTAAATTGTATAATCGAAAAGTAAAAATAAAAAATTTAATCAATTTATGTATAATCCAAATTTTTTTTTTGTCTTACTTTCAATCTCAATCAATTAATTTACTAATTCTTTTAGATTTTCACTCTTACTCTTACAACCAAATATAGAACAATATGAGTTATTTCTGTTTTTAAATTATATAATTTAAAAATTATTCTTTTAATTTTTAAAATATATAAGTTTAGATTATATAATCTGAAAATAAAAAATAACTTTTTGATTTTATGATCTATTTTTTTTATTTTTGAATTACACAATGATATAGTAATTATTTTAATATTTATGAAAGTTTAGACCTCATTACCATGAAAACAATGGATATTTAGCAAACAAATAAGGAAAGCGGTTGAAAAGGAAAATATTCAATCCTACATTTTATTTTATTTTACTAAGGAAGTTAAGAACATTAACTACATGAGTAAAATGAAACCTTGTGGCTTGTGAGGTATTAGTCATTCTTATCTCTAGGTATTAGTTGTTCTTATTCCTACCGTAGTATCAGACTGCGCATTCAATACAAGAGTAATGATAGTTAATCCTTAGCATACACAACACAAACATGCAAAAGCATAACTCAGATAAACAACAAAATAACATGGCAAGAAAACATCTCAACTCGACCAAAATTGTAAGTAGTCCATCAATCATAAAAAATATCTCGACCAAAGTCAGAAACCTTGAGACTGACCTCTAGAACAACCAAAACAAGTTGTAAAACCTCTAAGTCGAGGTTTCAAAACAACCCGGTCAAACAACCCAACCAAATAGCCCAACCTGGCCAACCAACCCAACTTGGCCACACAACTCAAGCTGGCTAAACAACTCGACTACCCAGCTTGGCCAACCAACCATTAGTACAAAAAGGGGTTTCTAACACACCTATTACGCTTCGATTTCAACAAAATTGAAGCATAAAAAGTTGTGGTTGTAAATTTGTAATTTTTTGTAACATATAAGGCTCGGTTCATCAAAAACTGAAGCCATATGGTGTTTTTGGCCTCAGTTAAATTAAAATCGAAGCCCAAAAGGGTGACAGATAAATATACATTTTCAAATTTAATGTTAGAGGGCTTACGGTATCAATTATTTACAAAATTATTGTCATAGCATCTTGTGAAACTGACAATTTCAGACTTTTCAACTACTAAGGTTTGGTGCAAGGTCATAGGCTTGCACAAAGGTAGTTGCCCACCGAATTGAATAATCAAGAAGCCCTTCATAATTGTTAAATCAGTTAGAAGATCTTTACCACCCACTTCAATCGTGCGACCTATGTTGAGTAATTGTCTCCCCAACGATCACAACCTTTGATCAAGTCATGCCTGAATCACCCGAATGGCGAGAGTAATAGTTAACAAACTGCTTCGCCAATAGTTTCAGGTTCGGGTTTGGGGGGCACGTGTACCGTATGACCGATCAGTCAACCACAAACTGATCGTTCAGTTGTAGACCGGTCGGTCAGTTGTAGACCGATCGATTAGCTTTGATGTCAACCACTTAACAAGCTATCTTAGGATCAGTCGAGCATAAACAAACACAATTAACTCTAATGTTAATCAACTAAGATGTAAGGCAAAATTATCTACAATTAGACCATTTTTGGGCCGATATTGATCAAAAGTCAACTTTAAAACCTATAAATACAAGTTTGAGGTAAGGAGGTAGGTGATATGCATTTACATCATTAATATTTGAAGTGTCAATGTTTTGCAGACATTGACATCAGAATGCCTCCTATAAATACTCTTGAAACGATTTTGACGAGCAACCCAAATGATCGATTCAACCTTACATAGATTTGAAGACAACTTTCAAAACCAAGACAATCACCCAACACAATTTAAACTATTGACTTCGACCTCCACACCCAAAATAATATTTATATAAAATAAAAATATAGTTAAGATATAGAATAATAAAATAATATAAAATTTGTAAATTAAAACAAAACATTAAATAGACATATTCAAAATAAAGTAAATTAGCAATAGCTGAAAACGTAAGTAATATGGCATGTTTAGAGACAAAAACAAATTTCAACTTAAATAAGACACGTGCATTAAAAAATGGTAGAAAATACTAAAAGTTTTAAAAAATAAAACTAAACGCTAGAAGGAGGGTTTGAACCTCCGACCTTGTGGTTAACAGCCACACGCTCTAACCAACTGAGCTATTCCAGCTTTGATCAATCAGACTTTTTAGCATGGTTGACTAATTGAGAATTTAAATGTTTTTCCATGTTATGTATACAGTTTTCTTACGAAATTTTACTTTTATTCATGAAATAAGTCTTTAAAGTATTTTTATTCTTTTAAATTTAATTAAAAATGCTGGTTTTTATTCTTGTAACATTTTTTTAAAACTTGTGTGTGTATATGTTGTAACTATATTTAAATAAAATAAAACTATAGTTGAGATATAGAATAACAAAATAATATACAAATTTATAATTAAAACAAAATATTAAAAATAAAATAAATTAGCAGGAGGTAAAATCAGAAGTAATATGGCATGTTTAGAGACAAAGTATTTAAATTATAAAACAAATTTAAACTTCTTAAAAGGAATAAGACACGTGCATTAAAAAATGGTAGAAAATACTAAAAGTTAAAAAAATATATATATAAAACACTAGAAGATTACATGTATGGTGCCCAGTTTATCATTTATTAGGTAGTAAAGATAACATGTTTTTTAAATTAAATATCCAGTTTTCTTAAAAATTTGCTTTTATTCTTGAAACGAGTTTATAACCGATTTTAATTCTTTTAAATTTAATTAAAATGTTTGTTTTTATTCTTATTTGAAGTAAACTTATTATTTACTTTTTGAGAAGAAAATTACAAATTTAAACACAGATAACATTTAATTATGTAAATATAGTATAGTTAATAAGCTTCATTGTTTTTAGTAATTCAATATACGTTGCAAGAAAAATTCTTAAAATGGGAAATAAAATACTATAACTAATAATTATAATTAATAATACTTAAAATATTAAGTATGAAAACTAATAATTATTACTTATAAGACTCCTTAAAACAAGTCATAATCAATTTATTAATATATATATATATATATATATATATATATATATTGTTAATATATGTTTGGATTATATTTACAATCAAGTCATAACAATCTTATCTTTCTATATATAAAGAAAATTGATTTTTAAACAAATACGAAGTTATATTTTCAACTTTTAAAACTCTTAAGTATTTAAAGATTTTATGTGATAAACGGTCAAGAAATAACATGCTTATTGTTATAATATTGTAACAGAGATTTAGAATACAACACACTTGGACTTTCAAGCATGCATGGGCCACTTTGTGCAGGAGTTGCTGAAACCCTGGTGCGGATAGGGGCTAGTCCCTCAATATTTTTATATATTTATATAAATTAATATATAATATGAATTAATTTTTTTTAAATTTTAATATATTTTATATATTTGATAACTCCAAAATTTGTTATACATCTATATAAAGATTTTGACACATCTAAAATATTTGTTTAACCATCTGTCTTGGAGAAAAGTTCCATAATCTCGTATTATGTGATTGAATGATATTCTTATGCACTGTTGCAAGAAAAAAATATTTTATATATGTTTTAATTAAATTCTGATTAATATAGGTAAATTCGGATTAAGTGTTTTGTTTTCCATACGTTTTTCAAATATTATTTTTAACATATTATTACATCATTATGTAAAGTGATTGAATTTACAAAACTAATAATTAATTTTACATATAAATTTATCATATTAGCATGTCTATTAAAAGATGGACGATAAACTAAAGGTAAACTAAAATTATTTTTTAATGTGTAAATGAAAATCAAATAATTGATAAAACTATAAACATTAAAGTTGCTTACTTTTAATTTTTTTTAACCAAACTCAAAGAGAGAAATGCAATTAACGTAATACATATACAGAGAAAGTGGCCAATTCATACTCCACACATCCATAAAGCATATATGTTCACTTTTAGACTGTTATCCACACCATGAACGTTAATTCGAAATGCAAACTATGTAATTAATGTGCTTCATTTTTATCACTTACAATCATCCACTGTACACCCTCAGACGAGTAGTGATCCTCTCTCGACACATGGGACAATTAGTTAACTTGTATCCACAATCCTTGCAAGTCTGTTTTTCCAAAATATTGTATGAATAATAATAATAATAATAAATAAATTAAAAAAAATAAGAATAATTATAACTCACCATGTGACCACACCCGAAGGCCAAGTCTCTTGGATTGGTCAAACAAACAGGACAAACCTGTAGAACAGAAGATACAACACCAAACCAATCGTAAAAAACTTCAATTGTAATGTTTATGTATTTAAGGTTATTAAAACATACCGATTGGTTGTTGTCATCATTGGAGGAAGGTGGTGCAGTGGTGGGAAGACGAGCTAGTGATGGTGTAGGCCTAGAATATGGTAGAGGAGGAGCTTTTGGAACTATTCTCTTTGCTCTTCCTGTCACACGTCTATTCTCCAAAACCACAAAAAATATACACAATCAAACATAACATATTCAAACAAAAACTGCATATTTTGTTATTAGCTCATTTCTTTTATTAACCTCTGTTTATGATCATACCCAAGTATTCCAAATTCCATCGTTGCTTTATATTGGAATGGAATCTCCATGAGAGCAGCCAAAGCAAAAGCTGCTTCTTTCTCCGATGGGCTTATGTTTCTCGACATTATTTCCGTGAAATTTACAAACTGCACACAACAAAGGGAAAATCTGCTTCAATAATTAAATCATTAATTAATTCAGCTCCAAATCCTTGAATTATTTGAAAATAATTAAATTTGAGAAATTTTTATCTAAACTCTTATATTTAATGAAATCTTAAAGGAATTATACCTAGGTTCAAGTAAAACTATTTAGAAAATTAACAACATAATTATGCGTTAAATATTTGTTGCTGATAATAGGTATTGTTATACCTGAAAATTGTCATATTCGCGTGCAGGTATCCTGTCATCGAACTTTCTCATGTCTTCCCAGGGTCCATCACCAACTCCAACTAGAATTATTGCAAGTGGATATGCACTGGTATCACAAATAAAAAATAAATAAATAATATATATCATATAATCAAGGTGATGAAACTCTCGAGTTAACTATTCAACTCTTGTGAGTTTTAAGATCCTAAATAAAGAAAATGAACTAATCCACCATTATTAACTTCTTTAGTAAATTTGGGAAATTATTTAAACTCGTATGAATATTCTCAAGTTAAAGGCGAATTAAGAAGTTTAAAATTAAATTTAATTGTTTATTTTTCCCCAAAAATGACAATAATTTTTTAGACTAACTATTTGGCGAAGTCCCTAAATGATTTTCACATTAATAACTCATGAATTTATAAATGATTAAGTCATCTATCTAGTTTAATATTATTTAACTATCATATTTTATCAATGTGATTTACTATTTTGGTTGGGAGGTAGAAACATTGAATTTATATTAAAAGAATTACATCATTTACTTACTTCACTAATATTGTTGTGCAGTTTTCATAAAAAATTAGGAAAATTAATGTAGGTTGAATTGTTAACCGTTCTAATGAATATACGTGGGTTGGACTCAACATCTAAGCATATTAAACTTTATAGGTCCATTTCTCACAGCTTCTCTACTTCTTGCACCTCCTTTTTTTCTTCTGCATCCCCATGGACTTGATCAAGTTATCGTTTTACCCTCTCTTTCTCCTATGCAGCACTTGTTTCCCAGCGACGGTGCACCGCTAGATTCCGCCGCCCCCTGTATTACCGTCGCCAAATCCACCACCCACTACCAGAAATATGTTTTGA